ATATGTGTATGTTATGGCGAAAGTTATAATCAAACGACATTGATTGAAGACCTCGGACTGGATTCAGTGCAGTATTTAACATTTTTAACTACATGAAAACTGCACCAAATTCCATGATAAATATTCAAAATATGCCCAAAAGAAAAATAATAAGGCGAACAATTAAAAATAAAGTTGAATTTTCATTGTTTTAAAATTAAGTGTTTAATGTTTAATTACTAATAAAAGTTTAGATAGAAATCGCTTTTTTTTAAATTGTACAATACTTTAAAAAAACTGTGGCCATCTCGCCCACAGACTTACCCTCTTTAAAAACTTAGTTAATAACTTAGTTAGTAAGTTAGTTAATTAATAATTAAGTTTGTATGTTAGTTAGCTAGTTAGTTAGTAAGTTAGTCAATAACTTACTTAGTAAAGTCGTCAGTAAATTAATTAATAATTAAGTTTGTAAGTTATTTAGAAACTTAGTTAATAACTAAGTTAGTAATTTAATACGTTAGTTAGTAAGTTAGAAACTATGTAAGTTAAGTAAGTTAGTTAGTAAGTTAGTAAATTAATTAGTAATTTTCTGGTGTTAATATAATCCTAGAGGAATTAAACTATTGCAAATTATTTTAATCCATTCTGGTGTTATTTTAACACCTCACGATTTACCGTGTTACTTTATAAACTGAAAATACAATACAATTAACCCTTAAAGTTAATTGTATTGTAAATAAAACGTTTTAACTTTTGAATTAAGTAAAATATTGAGGTGCCAGGATCAATTAAGAGTTTGTTATATCAGGTGCAGATCGACCTTCGCAGAGACGCCGATTGCGCTACCTAATTGCATGGTGTGAAAGTGTAGATCCATTGAGCAGTAATATGTGAAGGTATGTATATTAGTTCAATGTAGTACAATAAAATATTCTCTGGTTTTGAAACATAATTCGTGCTAATTCTACTCCCAAAAACGGACAAAAAATTGATAAAACATTGCATACGCAAATTCTAATTGAATTCTGACCGTAATAAATACAGCAATTTTTTGAAAAATTCACGTTCAATTTTCTGTACTAATTCTAGATGTATTTTTGAAAAAAATTCCTCGTGTAATTTTTGTTGTAAATTTTTTTTAAATTGGATCACTTTTCCGTACGAATTTCGTACAATATTTTTACGAATTACAAACGAATATTTTTTTAAAATAAATTATTTAGAAATTCCGCTAGGAAGTTGATATGTATATTCTGTACGTAATGTATGCTGTTAAATTAAAAAAAAAATTTTTGACCTCTTTTTCGTACAAAATTTTAACAATATTTGTGATAATACACGAATTTTCATAATTTTTTTTAGAATGTAACGTTTGCTGTAAGATTTTAAAACAAAATTTTTCCATCATTTTTCTGAAACATTTTTGTACAATATTCGTGCGAATTACAAACGAATTTTTAATAAAAATTTTTTTTTAATTCTGCACTTTTCTGAAAGAATTCACGCACTTGCTGTTAAAGCAAACATTCCGTGCGGAATTCTTTTTAAATTTTTGGCGAAATTTTTTGATAATTGACTAAAAATTCGTTAGTAATTTGAACGATAATATCGTAAAAAATTAGTTTAGGAAGCTGGTCCTATTTAAAAAAAAATTTAAAGCAAACATTACGTACGGAATTCTTTTCAAATTCCTAGCGGAAATTTGAAAAAGTTTACTAAAAAATTTGTTAGTAATTCATACGAATATTGTAGGAAATTCTTACGGAAAAGTAATTCTCATGAGCAGAATACCATTTGAATTTTCACGTGGAATTTTGTTATCAAATGTATAACTGCGTTTTTCAGAAAAGAATTCATACTAATAACGATCAAATAAAGAATGAATTCTGCTTCAAACGCAACAAGATTTTTTATCGAAATTTAACACGAATTCGGAACGAATTTGAAACGAATTCCGAACGAATTTGGTACGAATCATTTTCACCTGGGTATTTATTCTATTTCAATAATATTGTATAAATTATGTTCCTAGAAAATTACAAATATGTATGGCAAAAGGATTCTATCTGTGAGATCCCATGAAACTATCAATTAGAATACTGAGATTATAGTATTATAAATGTTCTCTATCACGAGAAATTCTCTAATTAATCGACTAATAATGTAATAACTAAAATACATACAAATAACAATATATGTATATTAATTAAAGGAAGGGAATTTATCATTCGTAGCAATATATCAAATGTGAATGAAGTTAGCAATCTCTCCGAATTAATTTCTCACTTAAGCTTCTTCAATTATATATTAATATTATATATTAATTATATTATACTTATAATATTATGTATGTAAAGAATAATAATAAATAATATATATACTTAGTTATTAACTTACTAACTATCGTTCTGACTTACTTTCTAACAAACTTACAAACTTAATTACTAATTTACATACTAACTTACTAATTAGCTAACTAACTTATCAACTATTAACTTTCTAACTAACTTACAAACTTAATTGCTAATTAACTTTCTGACTTACTAACCAAGTAGCTTACTAACTTTCTAGCTAATTTACTAACTGACTTACTAACTAACTTTTTAACTAACTTACAAAATTAATTACTAATTAATTAGCTGCTAACTTACTTGCTTAACTTACTTACTAACTAACTTAATTACGAACTAACTAACTAACTTAGTTAATTACTACCTTACTAAGTTCGTAATTTAATAAGTAAGTAAGTTAATTAAGTTATTAGTAATTAAGTTAGAAAGTTTGTTAGTAAGTTAATTAGTAATTAAGGTTTAAAGTTAGTTAGAAAGTTAGTAAGCCACTTAGTAAGTTAGAAAAATAGTTAATTTGGAAGTTAGTAAGTTAGTTAGTAATTAAGTTTGTAAGTTAGTTAGAAAGTTAGTATGCTACTTAGTTAGAAAGTTAGTTAGTAAGTTAGTTAAAAAGTTAATTAGTAATTAAGTTTGTAAGTTAGTTAGCTAATTAGTTAGTAAGCTAGTTAGGTAATTAGTTAGTAAGTTAGTTAATAAGTTAATAAAAAATTAAGTTTGTAAGTTATTTAAAAAGTTAGTAAGTTAGTTAATTAGACCTAATTGATTAATTAATTAATTAGAAAGTTAATTAGTAATTAAGTTTTTAAGTTAGATAGCTAATTAGTTAGTAAGCTAGTTAGGTAATTAGTTAGTAAGTTAGTTAGTGAATTAGTTAGTAAGTTAGTTAATAAGTAAATAAGAAATTAAGTTTGTAAGTTATTTAGAAAGTTAGTAAGTTAGTAACTAAGTTAATTAATTAGACCTAACTTACTAACTTAGTTAGCTAGTTAGTTAGTGAGTTAGTTAGTAAGTTAATTAGTAATTATGTTTGTAAGTTAGTTAGCTAGTTAGTTCGTAAGTTAGTTAGTAAGTTAGTTAGAAAGTTAGTAAGTTAAAAAGTTAGTAAGTTTGTTAGTTAGTAACAGTAAATTAGTTACTAACTAACTATTGTTCCACGTAAAGCTAAATTCATCGAATTTTAACAGATCGTTGACTTGGTGTTTGATTTAAAATAAAACTTCATTCATAATAAAAAATAACACTAAAATAGATTATTTTAATCCATTCTGGTGATATTTTAACACCTCAAGATTTACTGTGAAATAATACTTATAATAAAATGTTTCAATAATTAACCTGTTTTCCATATTTATTTTCAATTTATTTACCATCATTTAATATTGTAATATTAAAATACAAAAAGAATTATTATATTCTAATTGTTTTTCCAGTAAAATTTAATTTGAAAAATATGTTTTTTATTCTAAATCATTATTAGTTTCACTTTAAATCTACTATTTTGACTTTCCATATTCTTTTAACATTTTAAATGTTGAAAATCTGACTTTAGCTTCGTAATAAGCAACCCTAAAACCCCCTAGTTACTAAGTTTCATAAAAATTCAAATAGTTTTTTAAAATTTGTCTGACATATTGAAACCCACAAATAAGAGATGTCAGCTTAAATACATCTTGAGGTTGTGGACAAGGTTTTTTTATCTGGCCCACTGTGAGAGGATACTTTGCAAATTTGTCTTTAGATCAAATAGGTAAAAAAAATAGGTTTTTTTTAATCAGTAAAAAATTTTCTCATAAATTTGAAAACATAGTTTTAATGCTATAAAATTAATTTTTTAAAAAATACTTAAAAACAAACGATGACAAAAAAATTGTTTCTAATACCTATTTTTTAAAAAACTATTTATTTATTAGTATTATAGATATTTTATTCAGAGCGAGACTTGAATTAAAAAATTTCTCCAATTTCATCCTCAAATCATTATTAATCTTCTATAAAAAAGATTTAGGGTAGAATGACAGTGAAAATTCTTTTATGGATTTCTCACAGGTCCTTTGTAGGATTCTATATAGGATTCTATAAAGGATTCTTAAAAAAACTTTTAGGTGCATTTTATAGGGGTTGAAACAGGCTTCTTTAAAGTATACCAGAATTCTTTGTACGATCCTACGTAGGAACCTATAAAGGTTTGTATATAGGATAATTCATAAAATATCGACTTAACTATGAAACGCAAATTAATTGCAAATTCTCTTTCATTCTTCTCATCGGGTTATTATTTTACGTTGTTTATAATTTACCAAAAATCGTTAAAATTTGCACATAATGTTTTCTAATTAGTAGATATACATATTAATATAAAGATTTTACAAAAGTTACTGATTTTTATAATTATCTAAAATTATTATTTAGCAAGTTGCTTGAAATATAATTTTTTTACTTTACATCGCATCGATTAAAAAAGTAATACACTTTTGTGCTTTTACTTTATTAAGGAAAATGCATATGTATATAATAAATTTTGTTTACAGAAACAACTTAAAATAGATACATTCCCAAATGAAGTATCTTCGCAAATTTCCCAATAATAAGAAAGATGGATTCAGATTGCTGTTTATACTGTGAAGCTTATGGGGGTGTAGGTTTGTAACTTGAGCGCAAGTGCGGAAAATGTGAAACGCGTAACGACTGCGTGGATAATACATACTGAAGTGAGATCGCGGTTAGAATCTCAAGCATTGCGAGATCAAATTGAGTTAATAGTTAATAATAATGTGTTATTTTTCGTCTTTTTCATTCCACTTAAATATTAAGCATTTTGTTAGTTTGAAGCATTAAGAATAAAAGACATAGGTATATCAGAAGCCGAAAGTAAAGAATAAAAAGCAAATGTTCTATAACTGTTCAGCATTTTGGAAAACTGCATGAGACGCTTCAACTTTAAGAATGCCAATCAACCTGTAACATTAAAGTTAGTAAATTTTTCTTTTCTACATTCATTGAAATCACAAAATAGATATTTGCATGTTTCATATGATATTCAACAGTGTTAAAAATTTAATTTCTCCAAATATCAACTAAAGTGGAAAATAAAGTCAAAAGGAAAAAATTAATAATTATAAAATAGAAGCTTTATCATATTGTACTCAAGTTAGATTCAACGGATATAATGAAAATAAAGAGGGCATTGATACATTTTTTAAACACATTCAATTGAATAATGTATTAAATGTGAAGAAAAATATATTTATGAGTGGAAACTACTATTCAGAAATAAAATATTTTAAAAAAGTGTTAAATAATTTTATATTTTATGAAAGCTAATATACAAATTTTTAAATTAAATTTAAAAATTGTACACGGTTCAATAAGTATATACAGCAAATAAACTGTATAGGAATAAAAATAAAAAATTATAATAAAAAATGAGTTTAAATTTTATACCGTTTTATTTCGTTTATAGTTATATAAACGAAATGAATTTCTAAAATTTAATTAGAAATATTTTTTGTCTAAGTTGTACACTTTTAAAGTACATGTAATAGAATTGCCTACATGCAAATTTTTAAAGAAAGATATATTTAATACTAACTTCATATATTGTTTTATTAATTCAATTTAAATTAGTAAACTAAATAGTGATAAAATGTATTCCGTTAAAAATAATAAAGGAGGATTAATTTAAAAATAGAATTAGCATATCGTCGCTTGGGAGCAGCAACCTGTCACTTAAGTTAAGCAGTGAAATAGATGCCAATTCAGAGCAACAGTGAAAAGCATGTCGTTTTGTTCTAATTAAATGAACTTGTTTATTAGTTAGAAAAAGAAAATGTCAAATGGCACATTTTTTACTGCTTAGCTGAAGTGTCATGTTACTGCAATTATTTCTTGGAAATTTTATTAAAATTCTTCAAAAGAATTCAATTTGAATAAATTTTGATAAAGTTCCTTATAAGAATTAAATTTTATGAAAATTCAATAAATTATATTTATTTTTGTATTTAAATAATATTGAGTTCTCGTAGAATTTTTTTATAAAAATTTATTTCAAAATAAATTTAAGTTAAAATTTTTGATAATAATTGAATATTAAAAGCATTACAGCATGAATTTTTAAAAATAATTAAATTTTTGTATCACGTTACAGCTTAAACTTGCTGTTGCTCCTTTCCGAAATTTTTTTTTAGTTTCATAATATTTCATAACATGTCATAGCTTGAATTTTTTTATTTTTCCTAAAAATTTTGCTACCGCTTTTTCCAGTTTTGATTATTAAACAATAATATGTAACTCAAATGTTACATATTGCTTAATAATCAGAACTGAACAAAACTGAAACAATAAATTTTAATGACACTCATCAGTGATAGCGAACATAATTTACATTAAAATACAAAGTACAATTTAATATGTATAACTTCATTATTTCTAAGTTTGTCTCACAATTTTTTCTATCCCACTAGATTTTCAGTAAAAAATTATTTAAACTTAAAAGTATTTAATAATAATGTTATTGTTTAAAAATTATTTATTTATGGTTTATAAATAAATTTGATCAAAAAACAACTGGTAAATAATATAAAAAATATTTATTTCTTACTTTTTATACACAAAACTATTTATTCAATTAAATAATATTAATCATTTATTTATTAATAAAGTATCAAAAGTATCATAACTTTGATTGCTCTGAATATCATGCTCATCATATTTACGGTACTGGGTTCCTAGCATGGACATTCCATTTTGCAGGACGATTTTTCTTCAAAAATATCTAATACGTGTAATGGAGCATGAATAAAAATAGATTTTGTACAAACTTTTTATTTGTGGAAATATGCTTCAACTTTTTAATCCCAAGAATGATCACTTATGACACTTTAAAAATAATTTATAACACTTTTTTACTTATTTAAATAACTTTATACAATGAAAAATTTTCTGCGCACAACCACTTTTTCGAAGGGCATTTTCAGTTATGTATTTCCTGCAACAGGCCCAAGCGGCGCGAAAGTAATTGTGCGCATCTTAATTCAGCTGTGGTAACTGAAAATTTTGTTACAGTTTCGTAATTTTCAGTTACTCTTTATACTTTTTGAAACTATTCCCAAATTTTCAGTTACATTTCATTAAATTTCCTTAACTAGTTATTGATTTTAGTTTCCGTTACTCATTAAGGATTTTTACTAAAAATTTTGAATTTTGAGTAACATTTAGAAATCATAAGAAACGTGTAGTAAATTTCAAGCAAATGTAACATATAAATGCTTTCAGTACCATCATTTGGAAAATTTTGTTACATTTGTGCCTGAATTTTATCGGAATATTCAGAAAATTTTTAACAGTGTGGGCTCATTTTCATCTAGAACAGATATTCAATTCTGAGCAAGTGTCCAGATGTATGTGTGTATGTCACAAAAAATTGTGTACAAATTATCTCAGACAAATTTTTATGGATTGTCCTGAAATTTTGCAGGTTTATTGCAATCATTAATACCTAAAATCTGACACAAGGATTTTCGAAAATATCAACAAAATTTTTTTTTATACAATTTTTTTTAAATTCAGTAAAATTTTTTTTTTGTATTTTTTGAAATAATTTTTTTAATTGTTAATATTTTCATTAATTATTTTCAAAATTACATTCCTGACAAGAAAACGAATCGATTGATGTATACAAAGTATATATTTTATCAAAATTTATAAAATTAATAAATATTTTTCTTTTTCACAAAAAATTCAAATTTTGTATTTTTTCATAATTTTTTTAATATTAATATTTTGAAATGATTATTCTATCATAAAAAAGAAGCAATTGGAATATGAAAGTGTAAATCACGTGAATTACGTCAAGAATTTCTATTTATATATTGAGGAAGCTAAATGGTCATGAAATGAACAACTTGTTTGTTATCGTTAACTGGCTTTTCAGATTCAAGTTTATTAAAAAATTAAATCCTTGAAGTTGGCGTTGACTATGAGCTTTGAGAAACATTTTTTACACGTAACTGAAAAGAATCAAAAAGTTGTTTCAAAGATTTTAAGTTTAAAAAGAAAAATTTTTTTAAAAAATTTTTATATATTTTTGTATAAGAAACATTTTGCATAGTTTTTTATCCATAATTTAAAAAAAGGGTCAAAATAGTTTAAAACAGCCACTTATTTGGTCCACTTCATAAAAAAATTGTTTTCTTTTGCAGATAAATTTAAATTTATGTTTATTTAAGTAAATTATGTCTATTTTGGTAAAAAATTATTTTTGAGTTAATAATTATCATTATCATTAACAATTATTATACGAACAATAATCAAGTTTCTTCTGCATAAAAAAAAAATGTTTTTGTAAACATTTTCGGCACTATTTAATCTTAAAATGTTTACATCATATGCACCTTCTTTCAAAAACTTCAAAAATTTATCAGCACAAACAATTACATGTTATAAACAAACTATTTACTTTTTAAACAAATAAATGGCTTATTTCTGAAAGAAAATTTTCTTTTTCCTTCTCTATATTTAGCAATAGATTTCACTGTAAATAAATAAAAAAAACTTTTGTCTGTGGAAAAAGAACAAAATTAAATATTTGTTAACTTATAATATTTATAAAAATTAAACAAATTAATTATTTAAAACTTTTCTATTTCATTCAGTAATTCATTTTTATGCGAGTAATTTATAAAGAAGGAAAAAAACATTTTTTCAGAAATAAGCCATTTATTTGTTTAAAGAGTAACTTGATTATTGTTCATATAATTGTTAATAACAATGATAATTATTAATTCAAAAATAATTTTTTACCAAAATAGCCATAAATTAATTAAATAAACATAAATTTAAATTTGTCTGCAAAAGAAAACAATTTTTTTATGAATAGGAGCAAAGTTATCTTTTTGTTAATTTATATTGTTTATAACAATTTAAATAAACTACATTATGCATTATTATTTGTCTGGTGGTCATAACGATTTAAAGAACAGAAATATAAAAAAACAATCAAATGTTTAGTTTACAAATTTTTATGAAAAGGACCAAAGTTATCTTATTGTTATGGAAAAGTAAAAAGTGAACATGATTTTTTCCAAAAATATTCTAATTTCGTTAACTTAGAATAACAAAAAAAATATAAACAATTAAAAATTCAAAAATCGGCATAGAGGGATCTCTTAAGAATTGAGAACACGTTTAAAATTGTAATTGTTTATAAAAATTGTTAATAACAATTGTAAATTTTAATTTTACAACATGCGTTTATTCAATTATCTTTATTCGTTTCCGTGTAATAGCTAAAAGAAAATTTCTTTAGTCAAAAGTTTAACCCTCCCTTATTTCCAAAATAAAAAAAATTTTGAAGAATATTTTAGGGGGTAAAAGTAAATTCATATATAATATCTATGGAAAAACATAAATAACTTGAATATCGGAGACAAAAGTTTTTCAAGTGGCTAATTTGCAATTTTAGCCTGGTCCTAATTAGGATGCCTCGTTAGTAACTAAGTAACTATTTTATTTTAAGGCAAATGAAAATTAAAGTTATATTTGTTTTTTATTTTCAACTTCTAATTATTAAACAATAATTAATTTAAAAAATTATAAAATATTAAACGTTTTAAAAACTTTTAAAACCCAACGATTCAACTGAAATTCGTAAAGAATAATTGCCATTTTTGTGCACAATGGTATTTTTTTAGCATTTTCAACCTAAAAACAATGTTTTTTTAAATGCTTCAAAAATTGTAAAAATCAATTTTTTGATTTAACAATTTTTTGTGAATACAAAAATATATTTTCTACAAAATTACGGATGAATTTTAATATCTATCAATTTTTAAGAAAAATAAAAATCTAAAAGGGTCAGAATATTTTCAGATCGACTTTATTTTCTGACCAATGATTAGCACTTAAATAATTTACTTTAAAAATAATTTTATGGAAGATTTAAATCATTTTCTTGTTATAGTTAAAAATGTAGTCGAAGTCTGCCCTTGAGAATTGATGTTTCACTTCAACTCACAAACATAAAGAAATATCTATATCTGTAATTTTATTTTCATTACATTACTTTTTGAAAGTACAAGATATAGCCAGATATTAATAGGTACTTGAAAATAGGAATTTTTACTCTGATAGGGAATTTTATAATTTTTTCTAATTTAAAGAGAAGTAAACTTTTTCCAAAATGTAATTTATAAAATAATGTAAAAATTTAAAAAAAATATGCAATAAATGAAATAATTGAAAAAAATAAATAATAATGAAATTGAAAAATATTCTAAGTTCAAAATTGGCTATTCTTGTTAAGGCCTAGTTAGGTCCATCTAGTATTTATTAATGACACTGTCAAGTTAGGGCCTTCTTTGATTTCTACACTGAAAACAACTACAAACTAAAATATTTAATGATTTTTTTGATAATTATTATTGATATTCATTTACATTCCAATGGTAAATTTATTCTTGTATGCAACATTTCATATTTATCACTAATTCACAAAATTTTAGAGTTTCGATTTTAAATCACCATTTTTACGTTCCAAGTAACCCACGTTTTTATTTTGTATTGTAAACTCTCAACACAAAACCTCTATTTAATGAGAAAAAAGAAAAGTATTATGTATGAAGTATGTAAATTTGAAATTTACTCATATACAGTTTTACTGTTTAATACATAGTAAATCTTTCTTGAAAAAGTTGTCTTTTAGAAAAAATACCCTAAACTTTCTTATTTTATAAATCGTTAACAGCACATAAGGCATTCTGTGAGAAAAAAGACACCCTTAAAATGAATTCTTATGTCAATGAGATATGTGATAGTATATATATAAAAACAAGTATATAGACTAGATTTCAGGTCTGTGTAATGCAGGGATTACCTTGTTATCAGGGGATCAATTTTTTTGCAGTATATTTTTCAAATGTCAATAACTTTTACCCAGATTAATAGATTTGAACAGCTTACGAAAGTTTTTTATAGAGAATTTCCCTACCTTTCAAGAGATATATAATTTGTTATTTAAAAAATGTAATTTTGTTAGAAAAAGCGAAACAAATTTTTTTCCTCTTTCACCCATTTAAATTTATTCAAAACTACCTTAAAATGTTCCTTATTTCATAAAATTTTCATCACCCAAGTTTATAAATTTTTGGACATCAAAGTGCGTATGAGCTATAGATTAATATGTAATGCAGAACAACTCACAAATTTTGCAATTAATATTGTCAGTTTTACCAGAGTTGTTCCATAACATATTACATAAGAATTATTTTTGGAAGTATATAGTATGATGGTCCTTATTTAAAAATTTAAAAAATTTTGAATATTCCCGGCCAAAATCGTGTTTCATTTTGATTTTAATAAATATTCACTGGTGCCGGAGAGCCCTTGAATTTTCATATATATTTTACTTGTCCATGTAACGAAAAGCATTTTTCCCAAAAAAAAGACGCTTTTCGTATTCGAAATATTCTACTTTTCTTCAGAAATGGTAAAATATAACGTACAATTCATTTTTTACATAACTCTTATCGTTTATTTCTTTATCGTTTATAGTCCTCAAAATGAAAGAAAATTTCAAAAAATGAATTTTATTTTTAAATACTTTATTATTGTTTTTATTACGTACGCCCATTTGGCTTGGTATTTTTCCGACACGTGAGATAATCTGAGCGGGAGGTTTGACGTCGAGGTATAATGATGTGCACCGTCAATTATTGTCCGGTACACACCATTAGAACTCGACTGTCGATAAACCGGTTGTACTCAGGAGAGGTTTTCTACAGTTTCCCTCTCCACTGGCGAGAAAACCCATTAGGGAGCATTTACACCTTTGGTGAAAATTTCCAGAACGGAAAATTTTTCATTGGGATAAGAGAGACAGACTGTATGTCTGTCTCTCTTACTCCAATGTAAATTTTCCGTTCTGGAAATTTTTACCGAAGATGTAAATACTCCCTTAGACGGGTGGTCTAGGCAAATACGAGTACTCCTAATTTTCAAGTCGTTCTCTGGCGCAAAAATTTAGAATAAGTATGTAAGAAAATGTAGTATGTAAGAAAATTTCCTCGGGGGCACTTGTAAACGCTAGTATTAAGTCAAAAAGACGAGCGTATAAATAAATAAATAAAAAATATTGTTTAAACAATTTATAAATTGTTATTTTTAATTAATTTCAATTAGATTAGACGAATGCCTTTTTCCGTGATTATGCAACATTTAAATTGTTTCTGCAAAGAGAGATAAGTAATGAATAAAAGATTTTTGAATTATTTATGTAAATTATTTTGAATAATTTATGTAGATTTATTTATAATTTTCCTACAAACTTGCATCAAATGTTGCAGTTTATCCTTAATTTGGCTACAGATATTTCTGTTTTTCTATTTTTAAAATATTAATAAAGGAATGACCCCCAAGATGGTTTCCATATATTAAATTGTAATATACTAAATGAAAGTTCAATATATTAGATTTCTTGAGGACACAATTTTTTCAAAATAATTTAGGGGACACTGGGGCTTAATGGTAGGTGTATTTTTTCCATGTTTTTTTACATTTTTCGTGTATTTCGGGTTTATATGTTGAAAAATTAATTATTTGACATTAGACAAGTACGCGGTCAAAAAGCTAAACTGCTCACGTGAAATGAACCCACAGTTTTTTTATTTTGAAATTTTAATTTATTAACTCTATAACTGTTCTAAAGCTATTGTTAAATAAATACAGATGATTTATTAACTAAATTACCTGTTTTACGCCTACTTTAACTTATCTACTATACTTAAAACCTATCAGAAAGTAGTTATAGTAGGTTAGAAATAGAATTTAACATTTACTCTTAGTCTCTTCTACATAAGTAATTGTGAATTTTGTGAATAATAAATTATACTTTATTATTTTGTCATTTAAAACAATATTTTGTCCGGGAAAAATAAAAATTGAAAACTTTTTGAAATAAGGACCATATCGTTATACATAAACACTGCCACTTAAAAGGATTTTCCCACCCTGCGGCAAATAAAGACATTATAAAAAGTTTTTTATTTTAATTTCTAGTAACTTTTTATCTTTCCTAGAAATAAAAATAAAAACTTTTTGTAATGTCTTCATTTGTCGTAGGGTGGGCAAATCTTTTAGAGCGGCACTGTATATAGTCTGTTACCTTTTTGTTTTTGCAAAAAAGTCAAACAATTTTTTGCCATATTTGTGGAATTTTAATGGTGAAAAATACATAGTCTTTTGCATGATTCTGGGTAAAGCTTACTTTGAAAGTAAATGCTACAATTGTACGTGCTCCAATGATGGGTTTTATTTTATTTAACGGATGTTAAATGTCCTCAGTGCCTTCATCCTGGGAAGTGGATAAAAATAATAATACAAATAAAACAAATCAGGATGTATTAAAAATATATTTAGCAAAAAGGTACCAAAAGAAAGAGATAACTAGGACACTATGAAGTATATTGAATTAGCAGTTAAATCTGTCAAACCAATTTTGGGGGTAAAAAAACTCTTTACAATTAATCAATTTAAATTCATTTAATTTTATAAAAGGATGTATATTTGATAATATATGCATTTCATTATAGGATTAGCAAAACTTTTTGCTCCAATATGGTTTGGAAATAAATCAAAAACTTGATTGATTCCAAAAAGTAAAGTTGCTACTATCGAATTGCTACTATCGCCTTCAATAATTGGGTCTTATTCTATAGTACTCTGATTCTTTAAACTATATTGTCCGATAATCTTTTTAAGCACTGGATTTTATTTGTCGATGGCTTTTATATTTTCATTAAGGATCAAAAATCCACTTCTGAAATAGATTTAGCTGATTCGTTACTACATGAATTTGTTGCACAAACACAAATATTGTACGGTAAAACATGTAAGACGTTTAATATTAAATTGTTCTTTATTTACAATTTAATTGTGCCCCTTACTTCAATTTTTTTAATCTGGTTTTTATTGTTTATTTTATAAAGCCAAGATGATTTGACCAGCGAAACAAAAACTGAGGAACACTTATTTGAATATTATATCTTTTATAGTTTTTACTTTTTATTTTTTAAGTTTGTTTATGGAATTCTTAAGATATTTTTAAATTGTTTATAGCAGTAAAAATCTTGCTTTCCAAAAGAATCTTAATTAAAAAGTTAAAATATTTTTAGAAAAAGTTAGAGAAACACTTGCAAAATCATTGTATTGTAAAATTTAATAAAGCAAAACATAGAAAAAATAAACAGAACAATTTATATCAATGGTTAAATCGTGATCCTTATTTTCTTTTTAAAAAAATGTACATATTTGAAAATCATTAATCGATTATGTATTAAAATCAATATAAAAAGATATTACGAAAATTTAAATTAATATTATAATTGCTCACCTATCGGTACCTGTCCATAATTTGAAATAAATTTCTGGGTTGTTCAAGTTCACTTACAAGTTGTGTTGCGCCAGGTAAGTTTTAAAATTCTAATAGAATGCATCTAGGGCACGAATTTTCACAGACCATTCCTTTAAGAATATTTGTAATTTTGTAATTATAATATGTTACATATATAGAAATAGTGCGAAGTATAATATAAATTGGTCAAAATGACTAAATTGTTGATAAAAACAATTTGTAGAAAAGAAATAACTTGAACACCGGTTTAAAACTTCTTTACTTTGTAAATAAGTCAGACAGATTATGTTTGCACAATGCTGGCACAATAGTCTATCGGACCAATTGCCTGGCACATAGTCAGCACATAAGCCTGGCCGTGGTCCGGAAACCATCGGTCCACCAATGTGCTAGGCACGAATGGTCTTCGGACCAATTGTCTGCTGCACTGCCATCACATTAGCCTGACCGTGGTCCGCAGACTATCGGTCCACTAACGTGCGAGGCACGATTGTTATCTGGGCTGTTTTAATATTTTTTTAACTGCATAGTTATACAGTAGGATAATGCGTTGATGACTCAGTAAAAAAGAGATGATTGAGACACTTCGTAAAATATCACTTATCATTTAGGTGATTTGGTGTCATGATTACGTAAATTGTGTTAAAAAATTTCCTTTTAACATTTCTATTTTGAATAAATTTAATTGCTCTTGAAAACCAGTTACAAAATAAATTAAGTCGCTTACGGTTCTGTCTTCTCCTTGAAGACGCAAATTTAAATTATCTAAATGCTTGATAAATCTATTAGAAAAACTATTTCAGCTATCATATTTTCATAACCTAAATTGCTTTTCATTCTCCGCGGTATTTTACAAAGTCAACATTTAATTTTGTTGCAGCATGAAAACATTTGAAAATATCAATGCCTTCTGTTGTGTTATGCATAGCTACTAAATCAAGAGTTTCTTTGTTAACAGCAAAATCACTTTGTACTGCTCTAACAAAAGTTTCTAGCTGACAAATGTTGCAAATATCAGTGCTTTCGTCTAAACAAAATGAATAATACACTGCTGAATTTATTATTTTTTAAAATTTAAGTTAACTTGATTAATATAATATCAACTATTCATCTTGAAGCCGTTATTATTATTTTAAAAAATAAAGCACAATTGAACGTCGGAAAATGTTTATTTTTTTTTGAAATGCTCTTATTATTATTTGTTAGTTCTTCTAGCTTCTGCGCGATATAGAACAAACTAAGCGTGAAATATCTCTTAAATTATATGTACTTTTAATTAAATTTGACCATTTTTGCTTATTTTGAAAAGGATCTGTTGAATTTTTGAAAAATTGTCCGCTACATTGGATCTGCAATTTTGAATTTTGAAAATCTGACGTCTGATTTGTAATCATCCACCCCGCAAACCTCCGAGTAACAAGTTCTAAACAATTTTTAGTACATTTAGACTGTTGGTTACGAAATAGAGCCATCTGTCCCACTGTGAACCCTAATTTTAAAAAAATTCTGAAATTTTGGGTCCATCATTTTTAATTATTAATTACACATTCTTATTAAGAAATTATAAAAACTCTTAGGATAGTATTTACCGCTAAATTAAATAAGTTTTTAAATTTGTGATTTGACATATTGGATCCACCATTTTGAATTTTTAAAAGCAGACATTGGATTCGTAATCAGCGACCCGAAGCTATGTATTATATCGATGGCTCCCAATGATACTACCTCAACTCTATTGCGTGTTGCAAATCTGTATTAACTCTGAGACGTTCGTGAAAACTGTCTCAACTCTAACAGTGCGTTGTATTCTGTCTCAACTCTAGAGAGCCGCTGTATAATGTACAAACTGTGAAATGAGCATTTTGAGAACGCGCTTATTAAACATTGCGGAGTGATGTAAAAATCGTTTTTGAATTTCAATATTAAAATATTATCATGTTAAAACGAGTGATATTCAATGTTCTAAAAAATATTAAAGTTCGAAAAAGAGTTGAGACAGTTTTTACGAACGTCTCAGAGTTAATACGCGCCTGAGTTGAGATAGTGTCGTCCGGAGCCATCGATATATTCCTTATCAGAAAAATTCTTGTCAGTTAAAAGGTTATTTTGAGTTATGATATGGTTTTTGATTAAATTTGATACGGAGAGAAGTGGTAATCCACTTGAGATAGACTGCCTCATATATTTAAATATAAATAATTAATTATCCATTTTTACCTGTTTTTGATTACATATATTCCATATCTCATAAAAATTTTATTGCAGAAATGTTTGCGGAATTAGGATCGTAGAAAAATATGAATTCAAGAAGAACTTATTTGTCACTTTATACGTTCAATTATGAAAAACGCAAAAGTAAAAATTACAAAAAACCTTGTTTAAAAAACATGGCTCAAATGATATTTCGTACATCTCAGAGCAATGATGCTCTATTTAATATGAGTGGTGTTATTGAAGCAATTAATACACGGCAGTCCAAAAGAAGGTGAAGAGAGAAAAGAAATAAATGAAGAGTTTTTAAATTCTAGTTTTTAATTACCTAGAGGATATTAAAAGCTGTGAAGGTAATGTGTAAAATACGTAATATATGTTCTATTTCTAGTGTTTTGTATGGATGATAATAGGAGTACAGTTTAAAAATTAAATTTATTTGTTGCTATTACAAAACAGTATTAAACAAATTTTTGATCTCGTATGTTTTCTGAAATATTTATTATTGTTGGACTGAACATTAATTTATTAAACAAGTATAACACATCTTAGGATTAAATTTTTTTAACTTTGTTGTATAATAACTATGATTTCTTAAGACATATACTGTTTTTTGCCGAAATATGCAACCCTCTCTCCCTCATACAATTTATAATAAAATTCCATAATTTGTGGTATAATTTCCTTTTACGAAAAATTTTTAATTCCGGGAGAAAAAACAAAAAATTTGAGGATTAACTGTTGTTAGCTTATCCATAAAATTAATGTTGAATCTTTTCTTAAATCGTCTTACTCTATCCATTGACTACAAACACATACGTATGCTACATAATGTCCAACATAATTAACTTGGTAAACACCTTCGAATACGACCAATTCCTGTCCGATTGAGATAACCAAGAAATCTCCGATTTTTATGATTTTACGGTGATTTGTAAATAAAACTTGTAGAGTCATATAAAACTGAAGTTTAATAGAAAAATTGAAAGTGAACATTCTGATGAAAAAATTGGTATAAGCATTTTTATAATAAGCATTAATTTTGTATATAAAAATAATGTTTATAGTTAGAAACATCATTTGTGATATTTACACAGTCTCGGTAATTTGTAAAAAAGCATGTAAATGCACTTAGCTCATACTTAAGTGTGTATAAAATCAAAAGCCAGTAAACTATACAGATTGTTAAAAATAATTACATTTAAAAAAGAATTTAATAATTGCTTGACAAGTAACTAGTAGAGCTGTGCAAAATTCGATTCGAATTGAGTTTTGTACGGTTTTGGGGCGCCGAAATGTCGAAAATTCGACATTTGAGCGTTCCAAAACCGAACAAAACTCGGTGCGGTTCGAATTTTGTAATAACTCGAATGTCGAATATTCGACATTCGAACTAGGCGAAAAAATTCGAACAGTTCGGTTCGAATTATTTTGCACAGCTCTAGTAACTAGTTATTCTACATAATTTTTTCCGTGTGATATAAAGCTTTATTTAAAATAAAAATAAATGAAGTTATTTATTAGTATTATCATACCTTAATAGAAGTATGTTATTGTTAAATACTTTTATCTGCATAGGAAACGTAAGCTATTGACGACAGCGCAGATAATTATTAGCACTAGCATTATTATATATTGTGAAAGAGTAATTAAATGGATTGTCCAAAAACTTATCTTCTTGAGAAAGTTTAATGTACTTTTCTACCATCATCAATATCCTCATATTATCATGATTTATCTTTAAACGGTCATTTTTAAGAAATCATGTAATTGAGGAATTAGGAGTGAAAGTGTTAAAGAACCTAAATTTTCATCTTCCTTACCAGGTCCGCATTCACCGCTAAACTTGTTACAATGTGATCTTTAGCTTTTGTATCGATGTCATTTTTTAGGTTAATATTCATTCTCAAATTTTCATCAAACCCTTGAAAAAGTAGACGTTTTGGACGTTCTATTTCATTATCAGAATCACCATTAAATCATCATCAGAATCATTTTCATAATCATTAAAAGGATTCTTCTGAAACCTTATTCATTTGTTCATTAACATCAACACCTTTAGCTCTATTTTTTTTCTCTTGTCACATGCGATAATTTTCAATGTGGTTTTCATTCTCAAAGGATGCATCCATACTAAATATTAATTTTGAAACGTTTAGAGCAAAATTATTAAATTTTATTGGACAGACGTTTTTGATTAGTAATGTTTTAGTTTCTTTAAAAAGATAAACAAACTTATTAGTAAAAGATAAAACTCTAAAATATTAATTTTTACAAGTTACGAGAAAATAAAACAAATTTATAGTTAGACATATTGCATTAGTAATTTTATAGTTTTTTAAAAAAAGATAAATAAATTAGTAAAGATCGTGTGATATTCCCAGTGGGTGAAAAATACAATCACGTTCGAGGAATGTTTCATGCTTCAATAAGTGTTATGTTAATTGGTAATTATTTTGTTTTTAAATATTTTTATTTTTATAACTAACGTTAAATTCGTATAATCAGAGATCCTAAAAATCCTCGAGTAACAATTCCCTACTGAAAATTCCTATATAGGATCTTACATAGGATCCTGTAAGTAACCTTATCTAAAAGTACATAAAAAATCGTAGAATGATTGTAGGAATCTATGTAGATTCCTATAAAAAACCACATATGAAATTAGCACAGGATTTTTTATAGGAATTCATATAGGAGTTTGCATTCATTGTACGACTTCAAAATCCATGTCAATTCTTATATGATTTCCTACGTGGAATTTCACGTAGGATTTTATATGAATTTTGACATATGATTTCAAGTGAGATTTCATGTAAGATTTCACATAAGAATTAATGTGAGATATCATATAAGATTTTGTGTGGGATATGACATGGTATTTTATTAGAGATCCAATGAAGGAATTTCCACACGATTAAAAATTAAATAATAAATTGTATTAATGTTACAAGTCATCATGAAGTAAAAAAAATTGATAGTTTGCAACACGTTTTGTGAACTACAGTTTCTCAGCTCTTATATAGAGTTCCAGGATCACCTCAACAGCGAGAAAAGTCACTTTTGCCGCCTAGCGGTGAAAATATACGAACTATAGAGATTTATTTTATAACATTATAAAAGAAAACGCATATGAGATCTTACGTAAGATCCTATATGAATTCCTATGTGAGAAAACATATTAGATCTAACGTAATAAGATCCTATATGAATTCTTATGTGAGAAAACATATAAAATCTAACGTAATAAGTTCCTATATGAATTCTTATGTGAGAAAACATATAAAATCTAACGTAATAAGTTCCTATATGAATTCCTATGTGAGAAAAAAATATGAGATCTTACATAATAAGATCCTATATGAGAAATTACATGGGGTCTAATATGTTTTCTCTTAAGTTCGTATATTTTCACCGCTAGGTGGCGAAAGTGATTTTTCTCGTTGTTGAGATGATCCTGGAACTCTATATAAGAGCTGAGAAACTGTAGTTTGAATTTTTGATAATTTTTAATAATTTCAAATTTTTTACCAAAGGATGGAGACTATTAAATAAGTAAAGTGTTTTTGAAGAGCCCAAAAATAATGAAGTTAAATGCCATAAAAAAGAAAAAAAAAATCTTGTATTCTAAGACATTCGGTTTTTTGAATTTTTGATAAATTTTTATAATTTTAGATTTTTCACCAAAAAGTGAAGACTATTTAATAAGTAAAGTGCTTTTGAAGAGCCCAAAAATAATGAAGCTATATGCCATAAAAAAGAAGAAAAAATGTTGTATTTTGAGAAATTCGAATTTTTGATAAATTTTGATAATTTTAGATTTTTTACCAAAGGATTGTTACGTCCGTAACTTCTTAATATTGTGGACGTCCACATGAAAAGAACCCATTTTGGCACTATTGGAGTTATCTATATGGGCGTATTCCTGGCAAAATTTTAAGTGGTCTTAGAACTTTTTTGGTTTAAAATTCGCTGAGTTACGGAATTTCAAAGTTTAGAACGCCAAAAATCTCATTTCGAGAAAAACGGAATTAAAGATTGCGATACCAACTAATTGTTGTATCTCTGGTTCTTCTTGGAAGTTATTCAGATATGAATTGTTCCTAGTTCAGGGCACCTTGAAAATAAAAAACCAATAGGTTTAAAATTTTTAAACCCCCCCCCCCCTTCTTAATTTTGAAAATACGAAAAACCGACAATATGGGCCCTTTTCTAAAAAGGACCGTTTTTCTATTAAAAAACAATTTTTTACAAGATTAATTATTAGGTACAATTTTATTGTGTCATTTGAATAAAAAGAATAGATATTAAACTTATTTAAAATTTTTTGACAGTCCCCGAGTTGAAATTTAAGCCCTACTTTCACCCTGAATTTTCAGGGTCTATTGAGTGTTAGGAGTAGTAAAGTAGGGTTTAATTTTAATACATTATTAGACCCCCCAACTGAAAAAGTTCGTCTGGATTTTCCACATGGAAATTTACGCAGAAATCCATGAGGAGATTTGAAATAATTCACATGAAAATCCACATGGAAATTTTCTATTTCTTCTATTTTTAAGTATTTTCAAAAATAAACATCAAATTCGAATTCTGAGACCCCGAAGGGGTCTCACTCACTACTTTCTGCATTTTTAAAGAGGTTTTCGTTCATATTTTGGAGTTTATTAAGAATATAAAAAATCCATGCGGAAATCCACATGGCAATCCATATGCGGATTTCATGTGGATAGTTTCAAATCTCCATATGGAATTTTACCTGAACCTGAAAAGTCCATGGGAAAATCCAGACGATTTTTTTTAAGCTGGGCCTACTTTGACTCCCAAAACAGGCGGAAATTTGCCAATCTTCCATTTGGAGAAGCAAAGGAGGGTCTACTTCTAAGAAACCTATACCGTACTTTTAAACCTCGTAGACCCTACTTTCATACTCCTAGACCCTACATTCTAAAAGAAAATTTTGTATTATTTTTTTATGCATTACTTGAAACACTGCAAATGCAAAAAGTACTCCAAATTCATAAATACTGATGTGTTTTATAGCGTCTATAATACATTTCGTGTATATATATGTCGTAGGCAAATAGAAGAATTCGTCATTTAGCAAATTGCCTAGGCATTTAGCTAAAGGACGAATTCTTCTATTTGCCTACGACATATAGACGCTATAAAACACATAAAATTCCACTTTCACTCATCCCAAGTGCTTCAATTGAATCTGAGCAAATCTTCAAATTTTTCTTTTTCTAATTGTAGGGTCTAGGAGTATGAAAATAGGGTCTACGAGGTTTGAAAGTACGGTATAGGTTTCTTAGAAGAAGACCCTCCTTTGCTTCTCCAAATGAAAGATTGGCAAATTTCCGCCTGTTTTGGGAGTCAAAGTAGGGTCTAATTGTATTAGAACTAGACCCTACTTTACTACTCCTAACACTCAATAGACCCTAAAAATTCAGGGTGAAAGTAGGGCTTAAATTTCGACTCGGGTCTCTATTATGAAAAAATTAACGCAATATCCAAATTTTCATTTCGACAATTACGAAAAAAAGACTCTAACATCAATATCTCTGGTTCTTCTGGGAAGTTATTCAAATAAGAATTGTTTACAGTCCATTTTTAAAATACTGATTACTTTTGCAAATGACCGACAAAATTGGCCCTTTTCATTTTTCTAAAGAACCAATGAAAACAAACAGTTAAATTATCGATAAATTAATAAAAAAAAACCGCATGATTCGACTTGTCAAAACATGTAGATTGATAATAAAAAATTTAAAAAAATTAAGATTTTGCTCAAAAATTACTAAATTGCGATTAATTCGAAAACTAGAACCGACAATATGGGCCTTTTTCATGTGGACGTCCACATATACTTAATTTATTTATAATATTTAGGTGTGTATTTCCTTTTAACATATATTGAATTAAACGTATATATTATATTAACGTATTTGAAATACTTTCTTATATTATTACATTATAATCAGTCACATATATCTCATTAAAATATGGTATTCATACAATCTCTTCATATATTATTGCATTAAATTCAATATATTTTATAAGAAGGTAATTGTTAATATATATTTCATATGTATTTAAACAAACTTATAAATTATAACAAATACAAGAAAGATGGGTAATACTTTTCATGTAAAAAGAATATCGATAGTGCATCAGGCAGATGACTATAATCCCACAATCATTGGAGGACATAAAAACAAGCAGGCAGGTGACTAATCACTGGAGACTGAGCATCTAACAAAACTGAGAGGTACAACAGTCGCCCCTCAACCCCCCTTAAAATATAAAAAGGATACGAGTTCTACTCAGATCAGAGAGTAATTATTTGGGAACCAACCCGAACACATCGAATTATCTACAACCGAACATTATTGAAAAGTGAACAGTATACATCTCCAAGTATTATTTTTGAACGTGAATCGTTAAAAACGAACTATCTCCCCAAGTATTAAATTTGAAGTAAACTTTAAAACAACCTTTTATAATACACCAATTTGCAAAGTATAAATATTAAACAATTTTCAAAAATATTGAATCGTTATTCTTTAAGTAAGATTCATAATTTTTGTACTCATTGTAATTTTGTCAACTCTTTTCTTTCTTCTTGGTTTTTAAATAAATTATTCTCTCACAACATTTAGTAGTCTCATTGACTTATCCTCATCCCAAATTAGATTCATTTATGAAACTAATTTAAAACGAAGAACGTTAGGTATATTTAAAAAGGTTTCTTGTTTTTGACGTAACAGGGTGAACATTATTAAATCAGTAAAGTGTTTTTGAAAAGCTTAAAAATAATGAAGCAAAATGCCATAAAAGGGAAAAAAGTGTTGTATTTTAAGAAATTCGGTTTTTTGAATTTTTGATAAATTTTGGTAATTTTAGATTTTTTACCAAAGGGTGAAGACTATTAAATAAGTTAAGTGTTTTTTAAGAGCCCAAAAATAATGAAGCTAAATGCCATAAAGGAGAAGAAAAAATGTTGAATTTTAAGAAATTCGGTTTTTCTAATTTTTGATAAATTTTGATAATTTTAGATTTTTTACCAAAGGGTGAAGACTATTTAATAAGTAAAGTGCTTTTGAAGAGCCAAAAAATAATGAAGCTATATGCCATAAAAGGGAAGAAAAAATGTTGAATTTTAAGGAATTCGGTTTTTCGTACTTTTGATAATTTTTAATAATTTCAGATTTTTTACCAAAATATGTTAATTACCATATTGATAAAGTTCGCTCAAATATAATTTTCCATCTTCTGCTGATTATTGGTGTGGTTACTATTTATGAATTGTGAATTAAATTAATTTTGATCACCCAGATATTAATTATAATGATTCTAGAAATAGTTTGGGATCAGCGATTAATTTTTTTTCATTTAAAAAAATTTCTGGAATTTTGCCTTGTGTTTAAAGATTATGCAAAAATTTCTGTCATTCGTAAAAGTTACCATTGTTCGCAATATCGTACATTTTCTTGCTTCCCAACAATGTCAACATACCGATTACGTCATTATAGCCAAATGAGTACTGATCCTACAATTTCCTTTGTTTCGCTTACATGAAGAAATTTAAAAAACATTAAATTTTATAAAATGTGTGTAAAATTACACTAAGCGACTGAATGACAAATACATTATGCTTTGAAGTCAAACAACTTTGACATCTATATTTTACATTTCTAGACGAAATATACACCTAGATCTCCTCTCAAGTTTATTAGACTTCTGTTAGATATTTTATTTTTCACTGGGAAATATTAAATATTTTTTATTATTCCGTGTACAATGAGAGTTACTGCAAAATTGCTTAGATTTGTTATATTATTTTAAATCATACCACTCAAAAGCAATGTTAATTTATAATGTAATGAAGTAAATATAACAAATGTGACTTTTCATAATAGACATAATAAATTATGCTTAAGACAATACTTTAAATCTATTTAAGTCACAATTAAAAAAACTTTACGTAACTTAATTATTTTCAGACACTGTTATTATGTAAAATATCGTGAAGTTGGAACTACATACTACACTCATGGAGTCAAAAGGTCTACCAACTTTATTTCTGATCTAGAATTACGACTGCACACTGGATTGGTTATATGGAATTCTTATGGCATTCAGTTCTTGTCTCGGATGATTTACTTTTAACATTCTATGTGTCTCTAAACACAATTTTTCACGGTAATGATATATACTTTTATTTACAAAGTAATATAAATTAATTTATTTACTTTAATTTTGAAAGTGAAACTGAGATTCTTAAATGCATATGTGTTAGTTGATTTGAAAAATTTAATTAGTAATTCGCAGGATTAGAGTACTATAGGGAACGATTAGAAATGAAAATTTCCATTTTGTAAACAGAGTTTAATTCTTTTGATTAATAATATGTTTATAATATAATTGGAACTGCAATCTAAATAAAGGGGACATTATAACGAGTACAAGAGGGCGATAAATATTCCAATTCATACTAAATCACATTCAAAATATCATACTTTACACTTCGGCTCACAGATAACGTAACTTATGTACATCAAAATTAAGTCATAAATTAAAAAATATTAAATTATCGGTTGAGACCAGATTATCACAGAAAGTTGCTTCTCCTGGAATTCCAATAATGAAAAATTATTAAATGAAAGCTTCCACATAATGAGAGTGTGACAATTCTTACCATAGATCCTGCCAAATTAAATCTTAACGACTTTTCTGAATCGGTAGTCTATTTATTACCGAAATAGAACCTGACAACTCGAGAGAAATACAAAAATTAGAATTTTTGTAAACTGGAGTGCCAACATTTCAGTGTTGCAATTCTGACAATCTAAGGTGAACAAGAAGAACAAAATTTAACTATGTCTGGTAGAGGCTTGAATTAATATCAGATCCGTAATCAGTGACCCTAAAAACATTATTATCTATTCGAAAAATTTGAAATCTTGTTCACTCCCACATAGCAAAATATCTTGCTGTAAGTTTGTGGTGTGGATTAAACGAATGGTTTGTAAGCTTACGCTGTATAATTATATATTTCCAAAATTTTCAAATTTGTCTTGCCTGGCTGCTCCGACAAGTTTTCTATTAGTAATTTTATTACATAAGTGATCTGTAATTAAAAGACAAAAAAATATAAATTAATTTTTAAGCAATACATGTAGCAAAGTTTCTTTCGAAATTGTCTTTGACCGTTAAAATACTATAATATAACGAACTTGTGACGATGTGTTATAATATAATATAATATTCTCATAAATACGATAAATCGACTTCAAGTGTTAATGTTTTGACAAGTGCAACGTGTTTATTCATTATAAACAAGCTACGTAAACCTGACAGAACCATATTGTCGGATCACGATGGGACCTATTGCATAATTAAGGGCTCATTTAGGGCTAATTTAATGCCCCATTGCCGAATTTCCGGCCCTTCATTTTTTTAAAAAAATGCATGGTTTTGTCAGCCTTACTTCAAGCTGGCAGAACCACCTTCAAAAATGCTTAAAATGGCGTTTTGAGACTTTTTCTATGTACGAAAAATTTCGGCTCAATTTAGGCTTCAAGTTTCCACAATCAAAATTAATTAATATTATAATTTAACAAAAAATCTAAAAAGGGCAGAGAGACTTTGTCCTTGTTTTTCATTACCCAGGCGGAAAAGTCGGACCAACGTCGGAGTTTACAACCGGCTGGGATCCGCGCCCGTACAGACCGCAAGTACCGACGGTCTGTACCGATTCGGATCTGAAAAAGCAACCGGCGCGGTACAGATTATGCTCCGACTGTCGGAACCGTCTTCCCACTATTGTCAGTACCGGCTCGGTACTGGATTTCTTCCGCCGGCGGATCTTATTCTTCTGCGGCGTCGGAAGAATGACGGATATGTTGAGTCTGTACTGGCTCGGTACTGGGGCGGATCCGACTGCGGATCTCGTCATTTATTGTCACATTATAAATTATATAATTATTACAAGTAATTGCATTATTTTAGAAAATAATTATTAATAAATGAATCTAATCAATATATTAAGTAATTATTTATTGAGACTTTTTTAAAAATTAAATAATTAGAAAAATTCGTTATTAATTAATATTATATATTATTAATTAATAATATCTCAATAATAATTGAATAATTGTTTCTCAATATAATAATATTGAAGGTAATGATATTAATAATTTTAATTAATATCTCAATAATAATAAATTTATGGTTATTGATATATTATTAATTAATATTAATATTGATAATTTATTATTAATTCTCAATAATATTAATGTTAATTAATAATATCTTAATAATAATAAATTTATTATTATTGAGATATTAATTAAAATTATTAATATTATTACGTTCAATATTATTATATTGAAAAACAATTATTCAATATATGTATTATATAATAATAAAAATATAACAAGTTTCTTTTTTAACGAAATATTGAAATAGTCCTAAATATACATTCAATTAAGTATTGAAAATATGGCGGTATCATTGACGCGTAGTAATTCTACAAGTTTTATTTCAGCTTGTGACACTTGAGAGTATTTAAGATTTGAGAGTCCCATGCGAGCGTAGCATAGTGGTTAGCGTGCGAGATTTCGGTGCGTAAATATTCGGTTAGGCGTAGGTTCGTACCCCCAAGCGTTAGGATTTTTCAAATGTCTATGTAATAAAAAATTGCGTTTAAGTGTATAAAAAAATGTGTAAAGTGAACTGTCAATGAATTGTCATCAGTATTTATCTTTTGCAATTAATTATTATTTTTTTTATTGATATTTGTTGAAATTATCATTTGGATCCGATCCGGTTGTCAGTCGGTAGAATGCCAGCGCTCGGCTGGCTATTAAATGAAAAATCCACGGTCGGTAGAGTGCCAGGTCCCAGCCGGTTGAATTATACACGGAACGGCTTCTCCCGGCCGGTCAGCGGGCGGTAGAATGCCAGTTTCGAGCCGGTTGCCAGCGCGCTCCTGGCCTAGTCACTATTCGGTAGAATGCCCGTTCACATTCGGTTGGCAGGCGGTTACGAGCCAGTACAGTTACACCGGCGTCAGTACGGGCTAGGATCCGCGCCGGTTGGAAATTTCCGCCTGGGTAACTCTTTAAATTCCGAATTATTTTAATTAATTTAATTTCTACCATTTTTGGTATCTAAAGGTTTTTCAGGGTCCATAATTAATTAATTATGAATCTAAAATCAAAATTCAAAATGGCGTATTCAATATGGCGGACAAAAAAAATTTTAAATCAGGATTTGCTTGAAATTTTGTACCGGGAGGTTTTCAGGGTGCTCTAATTTAATCGAGTACTGGAATTCACTCAAGTGTTTGAATTTAACCCCTTCACTGTCACTGAGCTCTATAAAGTCATAAAAATGTCGTGCCCTGTATGTCCATGGGCTCTATAGGGCCATCGATAAAAGTCATTTAAAAGTTAACGAATCTGGCTAAAAATGCTTACTCGGGGGTTTTCGGGGTCGCTGATTTTAAATCCGTTGTCGAAAATTCAAAATTCAAAATAGCGCCCAAAAAAATTTTTAGGTTAACGAATCTGTCTGAAAATGCCTACTCGGAGGTTTTCGAGGTCGCTGAATCCAAACTTGAATCTCGTTTTGAAAGGTTACTATTTGACGTAAAGTCAATTAATGGTACCTAGTGAATTTTAATGGTTTTTTACTTTTTAGTAAGAAAAGCAATGGTTTTATTCATTTTTTCATAAATTAAAAAAAAAATTAAATAATGGTTAGGATTTGAAAACGAAAAAATAATTTTTTAAGTTTTGAGACGTATTTTAAACCCCAGTTACTCCTTCTAGGGTTAATATTTTCAAAATTTTAGTTAAAAATTTAATGATTTTTAAATAATTTAGGCCTAAGATATTACGACTTTTTCGACTATTTTCAAAAAATGCGACTTTTTTCGACTTTTCTTAAAAAATTGCGACTTTTTCGACTTCTTTTCCAAGTTTTGTCACAAAAACAGTATTTTTGGTATAAAATGCAATTTATTCCGATTTTTATAGTGTAAAAAGTATAACTATAGACAAATCTTTCAAAAATTATTTTTGAATGATTTTTCTAATTAAATTTTTTAAATAAACAATTAACAAATTTTTAATAATTGAAATTTTGTAAAATTTAACTGAAAATATCTAATTTTTCCAAGTATTTTTTTATAATTTTTGACAATCAACTTTTGAGGAGTTTTAATTGCAAATTTTGAAAATAATTGAATTCTCAAAAATTTCAATGACAAATCTTCATGTGTAAATTTATAAATTATGAAAATGAATAAAAATTAGCTTCTAAAAATTATATTAAAATAAAATATTTTTGAAAAAAGTAATACATACATATAGAATTTTTTCCTTGTAATTTTTTAAAATTCAATTATTTTCAATAATTTCAATTACATGTTTCCGAAAATTTAAATTCGTACAAAAAAAATAACATTAAAATTTTTTAGAAATATTTTTAACCCTTTGGAGAAAACAATCAAGTTCAAAATTTGTTATTAAAATTAAAAAAAATTAATTTTTTTTAATTGTACAAAATTGTTATTGTATAAATTAGAAACCTATGAACTTTCAAAAATTATTTAAAAAATAAAATTCTTGTTACATTACTTCATATGAATTAAATAAACTAATTTTTCGACTTTGTTCGTATTTTTAATCGACTAAAGCAACTTTTTTTCTCCTCAAAGTAGATCCGAGGCCTGATAATTTTGAAAGTTCATTGATTTTTAAATTATTTTACTAAAATTCAATTATTTGGAAAATTTTTGTATTCTATATAATTAAAAAATCTATTGTCTTTCTAAAATGTTTTTAAAAACTAACAAAAAATTTTTTGCAATTTTGTTTAAATTAATTATTTTCAACATTTTTGGTTATATATTTTCAATAATTGACTTTAATTACTTTAAAAAAATAAAGATTTACAGTTAAAATTATGATACAAAATTTTATTTTTGTATCTAAATAATTTCAATCTTGAATGATTTTTTAAGAATAGTAAAAATAATTTCAGAAAAAAATCTTAATTGAACATTCTAGAAAATAATTGTTTTTTAAAGAAGAAATTTATACTCTCTAAATCTGAATCAGTGAAATTCCACTGAGAATCAGTGACTCTATTCTCGCGATTTGAATCAGTGAAATTTCACTGAAAATCACACA